AGTAAAAGGAAAGAAAGGAAAAAAAAAATTAAGTATGAAAAGAAAATGTTAGGAATTTAAATATAATTTGCAAGGAAAAACAACAAAAACAGTCCAAACTTTTAGTAGAAAACTATGTACTTTTCAGGTATTTTAAAGGTAAATTTTAAAGGACATTATTTATTAAATGTTGAAGGGCAGAAAACGTCTTACATATTTGTCAGAAACTGACCAATCAGAATGGCCCTGAAATGTATAGCATTAATAAGGATAGTAACCAAAATGGCAGTCCTTTCCACTGTGTTCCTCATTGCCCAAATTTGCTATTTTCCCCTTCGTTTAGAAAATGCTTCTAAATGTGAAGATAGAAGGGAAAGAGGTAGAGTAAAAGTTATAGCCTACTCCATTTATTTTGTAATTATATTTTTTCTCAGTGTTAAGTGGCATTTACCAGTATGGATAAGATTAATTGTTACAATGCAAACCAATTTGAAGATTAGTTTTTAAATTGAGCTGTAATATATAAAATCTTATGGTAACGTGCAGATCTGACTATATTCAAGTGCAGTTTTCATACCACACCAATTGTCTTGTAATAATCGGGAATGCATCCTCTGTGTGGTGTTTGCAAGTTAATGCTATTTTGGAAATCACACCAGTATATCTAGTGGCTTTCCTGGGTGTATGTGGCTCATTATTGATGATAATTTTCTTTGGGAATTTTAGTTTAAGGGGATGGGGTAAGCACTTTCAAATTCTTCGTTGTTAGTAGTTTTGATGGAGGATAGGGATAAATGAATGAGGAAGAGTGTTAGAACAAGTAAGTAAACTCAGATAATTTATCAAGTATGTACTACAAAAATAATGCAGATTTTTATGTAAAAAGGAGGAAACAAATCATTCCCGAGAGGAAGGCCTTAAAAACTCACCAAGGAACATTCAAAAAATAAATATGTATATTTTAATTTAAAAAAGAGCCCCAAGTCTGTGAATGAAAGAGTTCTGGTTGGTTTCTAGACCGAGCTGTGCTTGTCATGCAGGTGGCTTTGGTATGGATAAAAGTGTATACGTCACCTGCCCTCTTGTGAAGGGAAGTAGGAGAAGTGACATGCTATCTTCCAGTTCCTCCTCGATTTTCTTCCACTGTTTCCTTTGTCATTTTCCTGTGTTTTTCATGCTCTTTTTATTTATACCCACTTCTGACTTCTCTTTTTCTCAAATTCAGTCTTTCCTTCTGAATGACTGTGAGACTTTCTTCTACCCAGCATACACAGAACCTTAACCAATTGCATACGTACAGCATTTCCATTTCTTTTTTCTTTTTTCTTTTTTTTGAGATGGAGCCTTGTTCTGTCGCCAGGCTGGAGTGCAGTGGCACAATCTCAGCTCACTGCAACCTCCGCCTTCTGGGTTCAAGTGATTCTCCTGCCTCAGCCTCCTGAGTAGCTGGGACTACAGGCACGCGCCACCATACCCAGCTAACTTTTGTATTTTTAGTAGAGACAGGGTTTCACCATGTTGGCCAGGATGGTCTTGATCTTTTGATCTTTTGTTCCGCCTGCCTTGGCCTCCCAAAGTGCTGGGATTATAGGCGTGAGCCACTATGCCTGGCCTGTGTACCGCATTTCTTATAATAATGAGTTACTTTTATGTTAAGGAATTTTTTTTTTTTTAAAGACAGGGTCTCACTGTGTTGCCCAGGCTGGAGTGCAGTGGCTTAACCTCGGCTCACTGTAACCTCCGCCTCCCCGGTTTGATCATTTCTCCTGCCTCACGCTCCTGAGTAGCTGGGATTACAAGCGCCTGCCACCACACCCGAATAATTTTTGTATTTTTAGTAGAGACAGGGTTTCACCATGTTGGCCAGACTGGTTTCGAACTCCTGACCTCAAATGATCTGCCTGCCTTGGCCTTCCAAAGTGCTAGGGTTACAGGTGTGAGCCACCGCACCCAGCCAAGGATTTTCAATATAGACCCAGGCTGGAGTGCAGTGGCTTGGTCTTGGCTCACTGCAACCTCCGCCTCCCAGGTTCAAGTGATTCTCCTGTTTCAGCCTTCTGACTAGCTGGGATTATACACATGTGCCACCATGCCCAAATTTAAGGTTGAGAGAAAGTCACTAGAATGTACGTTCCACAAAGACAGGGATTTTTGTGGGTTTTTTTGTCCATTGTTTAGCCCTAGTGCCCAGGACAGTTTGTTTGTTGGTTTGTTTGTTTTCTTCCCTCCCTCCTTCCCTCCCTCCCTCCCTCCCTTCCTTCCTTCCCTTTCTTCCCTTTCTTCCTTCTGTTTCTTCTTTCTTTCAACAGGGTCTTGCTTTGTTGCCCAGGCTGGTGTGTAGTGGCGTGATCACCGCTCATTGATGCCCTGATATCCCTGGCTCAAGCAGTCCTCCCATCTCAGCCTCCCCAAGTAGCTGGGACTACAGGCATGTGCCACCATGCCCAGCTATTTTTTTGATTTTTTGTAGAGATGGAGTCTCCCATGTTGCCAAGGCTGGTCTTGAACTTCTAGGCTCAAGGGATCCACTTGCCTTGCCCTTCCAAAGTACTGGGATTATAGGATTGAGCCACCACATTCGGCCCCAGGACAGTATCTACTACCAGAAAAGCATTTAATAAGTATTTGTTGAATAAATGATTAAAATATTAGCCTTAAGAAAATTTTAATATCATTTACTTGCAAAAATTAGCAAAGCGTTCTTAATACTTACAGAGAAGTAATATGAGTAGAATGTGATTCTCAACAGCAAGGAAGCTTTTTTTTTACCCTATTTTCTCCATTCTTTTTCTGTTGCCTTCTCCTTCCAATATGAGAATCTCTGCTGTTAAGAACCACTGGCAGAGACTGAAATTAGTATACATAATTCTAAGGAGATATTGATGTAAATGGTACATGTGGATTGGCAGGGTGAGAGAGAGAAGGAAATTCTAAGTTTAAAGAAGTAGGGTTAAGATGAGTATTTGAACAAAGTATCAAGGTAGGTAGTTAGCTAGAGTGCCTGGATCAATTAGAAGATTAGAGAAGGTGAGTTGATGTTGGCGGTGGGGGAAATGTCAGATTGATAGAGTGCTTGCATTTCGTACAGTAGTTATAGGGAGTCCTTATGAATTGTTGATGAGAGTGACATAACAAAGTGAAGACAATTATTTATTCTATTTAGCTGCTGTTTATAAAATGGATTGTAGCTCAAGGTGAAGAAATGTTGGAAACAGTGAACAAAGTTCGGAGATTGTTGGAGTAATTCAAAGCAGTTCAGCTGTTTTGTTTGGTATGTTATCTAGTGATTCCTTTAGCAGATACCCTTCTTTTGAAGCCCAGTGTCCACTTTGTGACTGAGGGATGGACAGAGGCAGGAGGAAGAGTTCTGCACTAGAAAGCAACAGGCCAAGATTCTAGTCCCTACTTCCTTACTTTGTAAATTCATGATCATGGATAAATACTTAATTTTTCCTGGGCATCAGTCACCTTAACTATAAAATGAGTATAATGTATTAAGCGTAGTCCTATGGGTGGTAAATAAAATGAGGATAATGATCTAAAAGCAGGGGATCTACATAGATCTCCTTTGGATTTATTTGCAGCCCATTATCTATCTTTATTTAGTTAAGAGACAGGATCTTGCTGTGCTACCCAGGCTCGATTTGAACTCCTGGGCTCAAACGATCCACCCATCTCAGTATTCTGAGTAGTGTGGACCATAGGCACAAACCCCTTGCATAGCTCTCATTGTCCTTTTATCAATTTTAGATGGTGTAAACAGTGAATACTATATTTTGCTTCCCAATATTAATTTCTACAACTATATTGTTTTAAGGAGAAAAAAGTCTATGATGATATAAAGTATTTCAAAGTCTGTAATTTAAGGTTTAATGTTACCTATATTGACTACTATATTTTAAAATATGTATCCCTGTTTTTATGTGTGTCGTGATTAAATATTTAGTTTTTTAGTTATTATTAGACATGTAATAGCACTCAAGTTGATGGATAAAACTTCAGCCTGGGATACTTTTAGAGAAACATGAAGAATGTAAAAATAGTTTTGAAAGGTATGGTTTCCTTCAAAGCTATAGGTGCAATAATACTAATGTCAATTAGTTAGAGCTACTAGAAATTGTAATTTCTATCTCTTTTGACTACTAAATACACCATTATATATATATATCTACATTCTTATGTATTTTTTGTTTGTTTGTTTAGAAGGTTTTAATACCAACAGCTTTCTAGGTGTCCTCTTCTCTTCTCTTCTCCTCTTCCTCTCTCCTTTCTCTCTTTCCTTTCTTTCTCTCTGTGTCCCTGCTCTCTTTCTTTGTTGTTTTTCCCTTCTGTTTGGGTTGTTTCTTCTCCCCCTGTTACGCCCCCCACCCCCCACACACCCCTGATCCATCTGGAAAGATGAAGAGACAGCTGCCATGGTAACTGTGCATTTTGGTTAATGAATAGCAGACTAACAAGACACATAAAATATATGCAAACTGTGCAGAGTTTGTTGCTGTCAAAGCCATAGGGATACAATACTTTTTCTTTTCCTTCAAAAAAAAACAAAAAACAAAACAAAAAATCCCTCTTTAGTGTTTTGTTTTCTAATATACCATTCCTAATATTGTAACGCTTCTGTGAACTTCTCCTCTTTCTGCTTAGTTGCCTCAGTGTTACACCCTGTGGTGAGTTTACGGAAACTGAGTTGAGGTGCATAGAGGAAAATAATTGATCAACTGGATTAAGAAGTAGATTTCCTTTAGAATGATACATAGAAGAATAGGGACAAAATTTTTTTGACTAAATGTTTGGTTTTTTGAGTGATAACTTCTTTTACCCCCTTGCCTTTTGGCCACTGCTGCCCCTTTTGGGTTTCTCCCTGGGGTTAGAACCAGTAAGTAGTGTGTTTCTTAAAGATGTTTCTATCATAAAGATCAGCTGCAACTGGAATATTGTATTCAGGCAAGCCTTAAAAATTCCTGTAATCTGTGCCATCCTGTCTCATACTGTCCCATCTCATAGTTGTCCTCTCTCTGCAGTGCTCTATGCCCAGGTCTCTGTGGCTGGGCTGCTCCAGCCTGGCGGACAGCATGCCTTCGCTGCGATGCCTGTATAACCCAGGGACTGGCGCACTCACAGCTTTCCAGGTACTTTCTCTGTCTCTGTGGGTTATTTGCGGGCATTAGTGTGTGTGTCTGATTCATTAGTGTGTTCCTCCTCCTTTCCCATGCTTTACTTATATTCATCTTTTCTCCTTCGTATTGCCTGTATCTCATATCACTCAGTACTCCTTTAATGATTAGTTTTTAATGTAGATCCAGACTGATCCACTCTTAAGACATTTTCATCATGATTGGTTACAAAAATTGACATAGTACGGCTTGACTGTTGGCTTTCAGATCAAGAAGAAGTATGATAGTAAATTTTAAAGTAATCTCAATAAATAGCAGTTCAGTATGTAATACTTGCTCTGGACCTACATAAAGCCAATTAGTATAATCAATCAAGTAATTACAATCAATTTCTTGAACATTTTCTTATTTTTAAAAAATGATTACTCAAAATATAAAGTGCTCTCTTCAGAGTGTCTCCAGGTAATTATACTACAAAATATATATATATATTTATAACAACTGTTTTATTTATATCTTGATTAATATTTCTAATTTCTAGGTGGAAAGACCTTTGAGACCTTTAGGTACAGTATTCACCTTGAGATAGTCTAGCTAGTGTTTAATGGATTAACAGATTCCAGTTCCCCTCAGCTTTTCTTTTTTCCTCTTTTTTTTTTTGAGATGGAGTCTTGCTTCATGGCGCAGGCTGGAGTGCAATGGCGCAATCTCAGCTCACTGCAACCTCTGCCTCCCTGGTTCAAGCGATTCTCCTGCCTCAGCCTCCTGAATAGTTGGGATTACAGTTGTGCGCCACCACGCCCGGCTAATTTTTGTATTTTTAGTAGAGACGGGGTTTCACCATGTTGGCCAGGCTGGTCTCAAACTCCTGACCCCAGGTAATCCACCTGCCTCGGCCTCCCAAAGTGCTGGGATTATAGGCAAGAACCACTGCACCCAGACCCCTCAGCCTTTCTTAGAGGGCAGGATGTCAGTTCCAGGATGTGTGAGAAACTTATAGAGGAATAATGTGGAAAATTGTAGAGGAAAATGTAGGAAAGAACTTGGTGCTCATTGCTTACAGATTAGAGTACCATACATGATTGTTTTCTTGGCTGAGTCTTATCTATCTACCTCACGTATTTGGAATTTGTGTTTAGCATTTTATAGTAATACACAACAAATTAGTTTTTATATTAATATTTGCCTGCTTTTAACCTATTTAGAAGAATTTCAAAGATAGGCTGTGTCAGAATGCTTGTGACTAAATTTTAGCTAAAAGAGGGGAACTTAGGTTTTCCACATTCCTAACCTATGCTAAGAGTTGTTAATTTTTAATGATACTATTTAGTGATCATAAAACTGGAGATTTTCATTTTTCCTTTACAAAATTTAATATTTTAAGATTTTCAATTTCCTTTACAAAATTTAATATTAAACTTCCTTGGCTTATACTATGAGATACAATATAGTAAAGCATGCAGATTCTAAAATTAGCGAAATCAAGTCTTGAATACTGTCTTTGTCGCTAGTGGCATGATTCTGACCTTATTTCCTTATCTGTAAATGGATACTATAGTAAGGGCGTGCAGTGATGGTTGCTGTTTCTATCATGATCGTTATAAACATTATTGCTATTGTTGGAGAGTGATTGATATCCTGAGACTGCTTATTTATTTCAAAGTGAAATATCTTTTTAATTTTTTTTTTGAGATAGTCTTGCTCTGTTGTCCGGGCTAGAGTGCAGTGGCACAATCTCGGCTCACAGCAACCTCTGCCTACTGGACTCTAGTTATCCTCCCACCTCAAAGTCCCAGGTAGCTGAGACTACAGGCACACGACCACACTTGGCTCATTTTTGTATTTTTTTTTTTTTTTTGGAGAGACAGGGTTTCACTATGTTCTCCAGGCTGGTATCGAACTCCCCAGCTCAAGTAATCTGCCTGTCTCAGCCTCCCAAAGTGCTGAGATTACAGATGTGAGCCACTGAGCTTGGCTGTATCTAATATTTTTAACTACATAACTACATATCACCCTGACAAGGTTCTGCCATAGTCTAGTTTGTTGGGGTTTTTTTTGTTGTTTTTTTTTAACCTTTTTGGGGTTGTAGTTAGTTTAGGCAGTCTGCAATGTCTGAGACAATAGTGGTTCCTAAAAGGCTGCTCCTACTTCAGAAACTAGTTTCCTGTTTAGAGGTCCCCACAACCACTCTTAGGTTTGATAACTTGCTAGAAAGGACTTAGAACTCACTGAAAACAATTATACTCACAGTTTATTACAGGGAAAGGACACAGGTTAAAATTAGCCAAAAGAAGGGACACATAGGGCAGAATCTGGGAAGGATCCAATTGTAAAACTTCCTGTTCTACATGAATCACATTTGTCCACTAGCTAAATCTCTAAGGCAAACAGAGATACCAGACAAGAAGTTCCGGGGGCCTAGAGACCGCTTTCCAATAGCCAAGAGCAAAGACCATTCCTTTCTTTAGTGAAAAGTAATTCTTCACTACACAGGGGTCATGGATCCTTTTGAGAATCTGATGAGAACTATTGATCTTGGGTATTTGGCAAAATTTTATTGAATACTTTATGTAAAATATATAGATGTTTGTTATATTTCTATTTTGTGAAATGATTGAGAGCTATTAAATCACATAATTCTAAAAGTGTAATCTCCCAAGCTGATAAATGCTAGGAAGGGAATGTACAAGGAGCTGTAAGAATATATAAAAGGGGGACCCAATCTAACCTGAAGTTTGAGGTAAAGAAAATCAGGTAATCAATGTTTAAGATCTGAAGGATGAATAGGAATTAACTTGATAACAGGGAGGAATGGAGGAGAAGGAGAACATTTCCAGCCTAAGGAAGAGTCAGTGCAAAGGCCCCAAGAGTCAGTGGGGCTTGGTGCATTTAAGGACCCTACTCAAAACAAGACTGTTGTTTCAGAGAATAAAGAGAAAGGGAGAATAGAGTGAGGAAAGACTGGGGAAGCTTGATCACTCAGGTCTTATGGGCCATTCAAAGTATGTAGTTTAGTCTTGATGCTAAGAATAGTAAGTCACTGAAAGGATTTAAACACAAGTCTTACCTGATCTGATTTGCATTACTCTGGCTATAAGAAGATGCATTTAGATATGTTACGCTGGCTATAAAAAGGATAATTTCAGTAGTTGAAGAGAGAGATGATGGCAGCTTGGTTTTGCATCCAGTATCTTTAAATTCTTAAAAAATTATTGAGGACCCCAAAGTGCTTTCATTTATATGGCTTATATCTATTGATATTTACTCTATTTGTAATAGGAATTAAGAAAAATAAATGTGCTTTAATTCACCTAAAGACTATAATAAACCTGTGGCATATAATGCAAATAACATTTTTATGAAAAATATATTTTTCAAAAAAAATTAAGACTAGCGTATTACATTTTTATGAATCTCTTTAATGTCTGGATTAAGAAAAGACAGCTGGATTCTCATGTCTGCTTCTGCACTCAATCTATTGTGGTTTGTTATTTTAGTTGACATGTATGAGTAATACCTGACCTGGCATAGGTATATAGTTTGAAAGGGAAAGATATTTTAATACCTTTTTCAGGTAGTTGCAGTTTCTTGAAGATTAGTTGCAGTATAGTATCTGAAGCCTTGTCAATGAACTTCCTCTGTTATTGTATTAAAACCCATTGGTCTCAGTTTTTTTCAACAAATTATACTGGAACAATTGGATATCCTTGTGCAAAACAATGAACCTCAACTGTTGTACTGTATACAAAAGTTAATTTGAAATGGATCATAGACTTAAATATGAGTTAAAATGTGTAAAACTAATATAAAATGTGGCAAAAATAATCATTGTGACTTTGGGTTAGGCAGGTATTTCTTAGCTAAGACACAAAAAATATGAACCATAAAATAAATAACTGATAAATTGGACTTCCTCACTGTTTAAAAATTCTGCTTTTCAAAAAACACTTTTAAAAAATGAGCAGGAACCAGGTACAGTAGTGCATGCCTGTAGTCCCAGCTACTCAGGAAGCTGAGGCAGGAGGATTATATAAGCCTAGGAGTTCAGGGCTGTAGTGCCTGTGAAAAACCACTGCTTAAGAACAGCCTGGCCAACATGGCTGAAACTCCGTCTCTACTAAATTGGCATTTTTAGTAGAGATGGGGTTTCAGCCATGTTGGCCAGGCTGTTGTTAACTGTATTCAGGTGATCTGCCCACCTTGGCCTCCTAAAGTGCTGGGATTACTGGCATGAGTCACTGAACCCCGCCTCAACAAGATTATTATTATGTCTTATGTAGCAAAAATGGGCTTATGTACTGGTTTTATCCTATCAATTCAATAATTTGTTCTGTGTCAGGTTCAGCACACACAGGTGCTTGATAATGCTGGTTAACTAGTAGGCAGAAACTGGATTTGAGTCTAATATTTTCTGTGCCCACCTACTGGAATTACAGCAGTCTTAGTGCATTTGCATCCTTCTGGTTTAGATTTTATTTTATTTACTTAGATTTTTATTTAGGTAAATTATTTACTTAGATTTTTATTTAGGCAAAATTTACATACAGTGAGATACATAGATCATAAGTGTACTCTTAGGTGAGTTTTGACAAATGTATACTTTTGTGTAACCTTCAATTTCAAGATACACAACAGTTTCATAATCTGAGAGAGTTTCCTCATACTCCTTTCCAGTCTGTACCCATCCCCCATATGCAATTACTGTTCTGATTTGTCACCAATAATTAGTGTTGCCTGTTCTTGAACTTACTTCATATAAATGCCGTCATATAGTATACATTCTTTGTGTCTGTTTTCTTTCAATCAGTATGTTAAGATTTATCCATATTGCATATATCAGTAGTTCCCTTTTATTGTTAAATATATTTCATTATGTTAGTACACCACAGTTTGTTTATCCATTCATTTATTGATAGGTATTTGGATTGTTTCCAATTTTGGCCTATTATGAATAAAGCTACCATAAACAGTTTTGAATAAGTCTTTCTTTTTGGCATGTATTTTTATTTCTCTTA